AAGAGGTTCCACCAGTGGACCCGGAAAGCAGGCCACACCTACAAAAGAGGTTCCAAAAATTTTTGAAACCCACCACTGACTCAAATGCTTCAGCTCTCTGTATGTCCATGGTCGTTTTGCCACTGTTGCCCCAAATGTAATATTCCAAAGCTTCATTTTATTAATTTTGAAAAATTACCTACTTTATTATGTACCTGTTTAACTATTATTCTCAAATAACAGAGATGGCTATAACTTTCTTGTTTGTATCTTATGTTGATTGCTTTTATTTAGTATCCTATGTTTATCACTTAGTGTTGTAATTTATGATTTATGATTATGATAATGATTTATCACTTGCTGCTTGTATATACACTGAGAACTTATGCACCGGAGATAATTCCTTGTGTGTCCAATCATACTTGGCCAATAAAAATGATTATTATTATTATTATTTTATTATTTATTAAATTTATAGGCCGCCCAATCCCGGAGGACTTGGAATTGAAAAATTCAATTCAATTCTATTTCATTCCATATTCTCTTCTCTTCCTATTCTAATTCCATATTCTATTCTATTCTATTCTATTCCATTCCATTTCCTATTCCTATTCCCTCTTCTTATTCCCTATTCTATTCTTATTCCATCCCATCTCATCCCATCCTATCCTATCCTTCATTTGGAATAATAATCACACTATTCAAATGTCTTCTCTGTGGCATTTTAATGCCTGGAGTTAGATTCCCTGCAGCTAGTAGGAAATGCAGAGATAAGGCTAAATTGTGCCCATATTATTCCCACAGCGCAATTACATTTATTCTGGGCTTCTTTGAAAGCAAGCATTGTCTAATTTTAGAAGGATAGTCAGATTTGGGAGTAAGGACACAAAAGACAATACTGTTTGAAGACATGGGTATTTACGAAAAAGTTGTATCTTGATCTCCTTTTGATCTCCAAAAGACAGATTTCTAAATATTATACATGCAACCCACTCATCACACAGAGATGCACCCCCACAGACACAGCGGGGGTCTTGGGGCTGGTGACCTAGCAGGAAACCTTCGGAGGACACCATACAGAACTTCCTGAGACCCCCACAAGAGGGCACTCAAGGGTCCTTCGGTTAGGTAATTTTTGCAGAAGAAAGTGGCCCCTGCACTATTATTTTCTAGTTTTCTGAATATTTCATTTTTAAAAACCCAAGGAGGAAACTCACACCTCTACAGATCTCTAATAACAGATGCAGGTGGAAGAATAATCCTGTGAAATGCTCTCTCTGAAGAGGGATTAGGGTGGGTTAATTTAGTTCCCCCTCTCTTTGCAAGGGGATTTCAAAAACTCTGCCTGTGTCCAGCAGCCAACAAGCCATCACTCTTGGAACAATGAAAGACAACCACGAGTTAAGATGCCTTCAAGACAGGAGGCATCACAGCCAGGAATGGAGTTGACAAGGGCACCATAAATAACCCAGGGAGAGAAACAACCTAAAAACATTACGAAGAGAATATTACCAAGTGACCAAGCGCATCAGCTTTGCTTTTGAAGAGAAGACACATTTGCCTTCCTGAAGGAGACAGACTGCAGTCCTCATGGCCCTCATCTTCTTCACAGTCTATCAAATTCATCTCACGGTCTTCTAAGTTCATATTATGTGACATCAGGAAGTCTTTTTCGGCGGCAGGACTGGTTTTTTTGCACAAAAATAGAAAAATAAGGAGACTCCCTCGGAACAAGAAATAATAAATAAGATAACTGACGTGTGCAGAGATGGACAGGCTGACTCTATAGTTCAAAGAAAAGGGTGAGATGGAACACCACGAGATCTGGGACAAATGGTACCGATGGTTAGAAATGAGGGGAAAAGGCCGGGACAGAAAAACACAGTCAAGTTAAGAATTGGAAATTAGGGTATTAAGAATGTGTGATAGGTAGGAATAGGATATATATTTGTATGATTAGTAATTATATAAATGAAAGATCAACGGACAGGTAATCTGACTGACTACATACATCTATGTAATGGATATAAAATATTTGTTGTAAGATCTAATCACTATATGGAAATGTTTATGCCAGAAATGTCGCACTATGTCAAATGTTTTTAATGTTTATCTAATAAAAAAAACTTTTTAAAAAAGGAAGTCTCTTTCTCATCTGAGGATGAACAGGGCAATTTCAAACTCAAGGGGAGCCCCTAACCAAACCCAACCCAAAAAAGCACCTTTCCCAGCATAGGGCAGTTGCAGACAAAAAAGCATCAGGCTGAATTCTGCACTGCTGGCCTTCCTGAATCCCACAATTATTTCCTCCATTAGAAAAGAGAGGAGAAATTTGCTGCTCTAAAAGTCAAAACATACTTAATGAGAGCTTTAAACTCCTCAGGTTTCTGCATGTCGATCTTCCTCCTCCTCCTCCTCCTCCTCCTCCTCCTCCTCCTCACATTCCTAAGCATTCCCATTGACATATGTTTTGATAATCCAGCCAGTCAAAACCTACCCAGCTTTTAGCAAACCACAAATATTTAACTCTGAAGAAGCATTTCTTTTAACGGTTCCGCTTAGCAGTTGGTGTTCATATCATATATGTCGCCAGAAATCTTTTACTGAAATATTTTTTAAAAAACCATACTTTGATAAAGCTTCAGAGAGCTATAGATCTAAAAGTTATTTGATAGGTATTTTCACACTGGGTACACTATTTGCTCCTAGAATAATTTCAATTGACTAAAGTCCTCACTTAATGACTGCATTTTGGACTGGCAACTTCATTCTCAAGTGATACAATTGTTAAGTGAAACATCAGATCAGGGGTGAAATTAAACAGGTTCTGAAGAACCGGTAGCAGAAATTTTGAGTAGTTCGGAGAACTGGCAAATACCACCTCTGGCTGGCCCCAGAGTGCAAATTCACATGACCATGGAAATCTCCTATGGACCTTTTTTTTTTTTTGCTGAGAATGGAAAAAAATGAACTGATTTATGGATTTGTTGATTTAAAAGGGTTGAATCTGAGACCATGCTGCAATTTTAAAGTGGGAGGAAAGATCATGAATTTGTTGGTAACTGTTGTAAAGATCTTTTTTCTATTTGTGCCATAAACTACGTGGCTCAGTGGCTAAGACGCTGAGCTTATTGATCAGAAAGGTCGGCAATTTGGTGGTTTGAATCTTTATAGGTCTTCTGCGTAAGCAGGGGATTGGACTAGATGACTTCCAAGGTCCCTTCTAACTCTGTTACTGTTAATAATAATGAACCATTCCTTTTTTTCAGTCTCTTCTACTTCTTTTTCTTTTTTAATGTCACTCTACAAAATTTCATTCTTATCTTATAGTATATGAAAACCTTTCGTAACAATTATACAATGAATACTCACAAGCAGCAGCATCTCTCTATTTAGCAAACTCCCTTCCTCCAATTTAATGCCTGTTCTTGCAGGGAAGTATTCAGCATTGTACTAACATAATATCTCCTAGCTTATATTTGTATTGTCTTATACACAATGCAATTTTGTTAGGGGAGCCATAAACTCTGGGGGCATCAGAAGGGAATGAAGTTGGCAAGGTGGGACTCCCAGCCCAAGAGAACCGGCTGTCTTCACCACAGGGAGCAGCCCAGGATCTTGGAAGCAAAGGGAAGGCCCAGAACTGAAGCCCAGCATAGTCTTCCACCCCAGCATTTCTCAATATATTCTGGAAAAAAAGAGTAAGGAAATAAAGGGCCAGTGTATGACACTGAATCACTCCTTTCCCAGTTTTGAACTATTTTGGTTTCTGCGTTTTCTGTGTAAACTCTTCCTTCCTGGTCATCCCACAAATTCTTCAAGAGGGAGATGAGTCGCCCATTAAAACTCCCTGCTTTTAAGAGGGATGCACAGTGTGTTGCAGCCAAAGATCTTTTCTAATCAATAAAGGAGAACCAGCTGTTTTTGGGAAGCACTCTTGTCTCTCCCATTCTCCCATCTGGCAAGTTCTCCATCCATGGACTGGCCATGCCTGCACTGCAGAATCCCACCCTTCTAGCAGTGATGGCAAACCTTTTTATAAAGGTGTGCCAAAATTGCACATGTGCGCATGACAGGCGCGCACCCATACCCACATTGCAATATGCCCCACCCACCTGCAAATGCGTGTACGACCCTCCACGCATGCGTGCAGAACCTCCCACATGTGCATGCACATGGGGGGGAGATTTCATCCTCCCCAGGCTCAGGAGGCTTTCCTGAAGCCCGGGGCAGGTGAAAATGGCCCCTCCCGGCCCTCCAGAAGGCTGAAAATAAGCTGGCCAGTGTGCACATGTGCACTGTAGCTGATGGCTTGCGTGCTGGCAAATATGGCTCTGTGTGCCACCTGTGGCACACATGGCATAGGTTCGCCATCATGGCTCTAGCAGATCTGATAGGAGCAACAGTTGCAGCTGCAGCCTCCTTTAGCAAGGCCCTTTGATGCTTCTAAGCTAAACAATACAAATTGATCTCTTGCAGTCTGTTAGCCACTGTTGATAAGTACTGGCTTATCAACTTCATTTACCTCTTTTAATGCACCAGGAACATTTTAACTAGCACAGCTGTTACTTTGTCAACTCTTGTAATGATGTTTTCAGCAATTTTTCCTAGGAACGTACACTTTCCAGAACATCTGGTTCTAGTTCAGTGATTAAAAATGTGTAGGTATTTTGTTGTGCTCAGAAGCCCACGAATATGGTAGATTATTTCATTTCCCCCCCTCTTGTCCTTCCCATTGGATTGTTTGCCTCTGTTTCTTTGTGTGACTTATTTACGGGGGACTTCTGCTTCCTTCTAGTTCTGGGGAATCAGTCTTTACTCTGGAATTTTGCCTTTCCCTTGGTGTCTTTTACCCCTCCGCATCTGGCAATGCTTCTCTTCGCTTCCTCTGGGTCAACGTGATGTTGTAACGTTGCAGCCCACAATTCTCCAGGGATCCCTTTGAACAGATCCAACCCGGTCAATCCACTTTTCACCTCCGCATTATCATTGTGAACTCTGTAAAAGCCAGAGCTTGCTGATCGAGCGATTTCCTTTTCTTTGTTTTGGTATATTTTTACCACGGGGTGTTGGTGATTGGAGCCAAAGGCCAGCCTTTGGCCTTCTACTGCTTGACTGAATAGAGCATGGGCGTCAAACTCGATTTCATGGAGGGCCGCATCAGGGTTGTGTTTGACCTCGGGGGGTCAGGGTGGGCATGGCCAGCTCGACGTCACTCCTGTTGGTGGCGCCTGTGGTGGCCCGAGCCCTCTGCCAGCGAAAACAGGCTCCTGAGAGCCATTTCTGGCTGCCACAGCCTCCTGCAACCCTCTGCCAGTGAAAACGGAGCAAGCTCCTTTTTCACTGGCAGAGGGTTGCAGGAAGCTGTGGCAGCTGGAAACGGAGCTCAGGATGCCGTTTTCACTGGCAAAAGCACTGCGGGCCGGTCCACTCTTTCCACGGCAGCCCCATGGCCCAGATCTAAGTACCCCCCAGGCCGGATCCAGCCCCCCGGGCCTCGAGTTTGTCCCCCCTGGAATAGAGGGTCTCTATTGTTGCTTGCAGAGCAAATGGTCAGTCTGATTCCAGTGTGATCTGCCCAGGGCTGCCTATGCACAGGGACATCACTTAAGCAGTTGTACAGCGATGATATTTATGGCCAGCACTGGATTTTCTTGGCTGGACACTCTTAAAGGGTCAGCAGTTTCATTTCCCCATAATACCAGAATCAGTTTTTTTTCCTTCCAGGCTCCTCTCGTTAATTTGGCCACTCTGTCAACTGGCTCTTGAAACCATCTCAGAAGAGTCCAACTTCTCCTTCTTCTGTGATTGGAGCCGAGATTCAAGTTGCCCTAATACTGACTAGCTTCTCTCGGAGAGGCCAAGATTGGTGCCCCCATTTTGCCTTCCTCGTTTTGCTTTCTGCTGTGATGCAGAGTTTCCCGTTTTAATTCTTTGTCTTATTTTGCTTCATCTCAGAGACTGGGCCAGGTGGCCAATCAGAGAGTTTCTTCAGGTGGAGCTCTCGCCTCACAACCAGGAGTTCAGATCCTAGGTAGAGGCAGGTGTAGGGTCTCCTTCTTGGGCAGGAGGTTGGACTAGATGACCTGCAAGGTCCCTTCCAACTCTATTAATCTGTTAGAGGATGCCAGACTGATTCCATTACTACTCGGGGCACCATAAAGTAACTGGGAAATACTTGTTATTACATTGTATTTTATCTTCAGGAAGAAGAGCAGCGTTTGAATGATTTTTTGGGGACTCAGGGGTCAGAACAACTTGACCAGATTATTGATATCTCCTTCAGCTGCTCTCCAATCATGACTGATTCAGTCCCTCTTCCAGCCAAGCGTTCACAAGGCTCTGAGGCAGCGTTGGGATTCAAATAACTTAACAACCGGTTCTCTCTCCTAATGATTTCTTCCAACAACCAGTTCAGCAAACTGCTCAGAAAGTTAACAACTAATTCTCCCGAAGTGGTGCAAACTGGCTGAACCCAACCAGGGCTCTGAGGCCTACAGCCTCAAGATCTCCT